AAGAAAAAAGCAAACAACCCCATCAAAAAGTGGGTGATGGATCTGAACAGATATCTCAAACGTTTTTTAAGAGATGTTGTTTGCTTACTATCTGTATTTTCCTTTCTACTCTCTCTCTCATCCTGTTGTTTCTATATTTGATACAAATATTTAAATTAACCATGGTAGCAGAAGGATGGTATGCATTCGGGTTTCTGTTGAACTTGGCCTTGATGCCCAGGGCCCAGGTGCAGGTCTCTCCAACAGCAAGGCAGACACCTGTTAGCCAGTGATTTTTTTCTTAGAAAAACAATACAAGAACTTCTGGTTAAAGATTGCAAAATGAAAGTGATGTAGCTCCACTTTTTTCTCTGAAACCCACAGCCCTCCTTCTTTGATGAAATTAAAAAGCAGTTTCAATCCTGAGCATCAGTTGGTTTTGAAGATGAGGGGAGGGCAACAGGGAAACCCACTGGGAAGGGCTAAGGTGCAGCTCAAGTGAAAACAACAGAGCTGCAAGCTGAAAGCGCAGAGCCTGGCACATAGTAGGTGCTCCATGGCCCTCATTCATGAAGGAGGCTTGTTTTCTTCAAGCAGAGGAGCTGCTAAGCTTGAGCCAGGCTAGGAGGAAGGATGTGGAGAAGAGCCAGCATGAGTGAGGGCCACTGCCAGGAAAGATGCCTCTTTCTCTCTCTCTCTCTCTCTCTCTCTCACACGCACACACACACATCAACACACACACATGTACACACAGAAACACACACAGAGACACATATACATGGAGGCACACACCAAAACATACACAAACACACACACCACACACACACAGATACAAACAGAAACACACCAACACATACACAAACACACATGGAAACACAGACACACATATACACACACACTTTCTCCATGAGAAAGGGCAGAGACCAGGCCAAAGCCATGGAATGAGGTCCTGGGGCAGAACCAGCCACAGTCAGCCAGTGGGAGGGGTCAGGGAGATCTGGAGGGCATGTGGATGGTGTCCTCATCCCCAGCCTTCAGTCCAAACCCTCTGCCTGGTACCCAACCTGAGGCTGGAGAGAGGGTGTGGCTGAGCTTTTGCCCTGACAAAGGCCACACTTCCCTGCTGGCCACAGCTGTGCCCATGGGAGGCAGCTAGATCTCATTTGAGGGCCAAAAGGTCTGGCCCTGTCCAGCACAGCGATTATCTTGATATGTAAACTTGAGGAAGTTACTCTCCCTCTTCAGTCCTGAATTTTCCCTTCTGTAAAATGGGAATAGCCACATTGCCTTGTCTTCCTCCAGGGACATGGTTGTGTGGCTCTGCTGAACCATGAACAATAGGAAATAGCTTTGTGACTCGCCCAAAACATTAGTCACTGTGATTATTAGAGTCATCATCATTATTGTTCCTCAATCCACATGCCAGCTGTCCCCCACCCTCTCTCTCCTCTTGCCCTCTGGAATGAGCTGACTTGACAGTGGAAGGCTCCCCAGCACTCACACGAGTCCCTCCCTGACTTCTCTCTTTCCTCCAAGACCCTCTGCCTTTTGCCAGCTGTATTGAGTCAAGGAAACTTCCCTGCTTTCACCCCAAATATTCTCCCTATTACTGACCACTCTAATGAATTGGGAAGAGCCCTGCCCATCAAGGGGCTCACTGATGGTTTGGGGCACATCGAGTGCCCTCTCTGACCTCAGCTGCCTCATTTGTAGAGGGAAAGTGTTGATGCAAACCTCACAGTGCTGGCACGAGCGCTACACAGGATCATGTAGGATAGAGAGCCCATTTCAGGCCGGATGCAGTGGCTCACACTCATGCCTACAATCCCAGTGCTTTGGGAGGCTGAGGTGGGATGATCGCTTGAGCCCAGGAGTTTCAGTCCATCCAGGACAGCATAGTGAGATCTCATCTCTACAAAAAAATGAAAAAATTAGCTGGGTGTGGTGGCATGCATCTGTAGTCCTAGCTACTCAGAAGGCTAAGGTGGGAAGATCACTTGAGCCTGCGAGAGCAAGGCCTCAGAGAACTGTGATTGTGCCACTGCACTCCAGCCTGAGTGACAGAGCCAGACCCTGTCTCAAAAAAAGGAGGGGGATAGGTAGGGCACAGGTAGGGCACAGCATGTCATTGTATTTGTCTGTATAGTATAAAATAACTAAAGTATCCAGATATCCATTATTAAGAAATAATCAGAAGAAATACGACACATACATAGAGTAGAATATTATGCAGTCCTTACAAAGAACAAACAAAGGAAGGCATGGTCAGAGTTCTTGGATGCAAGCAATAGACATGCCACACCTGGCTGATAGCCGAAAGACCGTTTCACAACTCCAGGGTGCACAATCCACACTGGGCTCCATGTAAACACCTGCCTCCTGCTATGTTTTTTGAAACTGTACAACTTGGACACTTTCCAAAGATATCAGGGAGTTCATAGAAATAATGATCAGAAACCAAGAAAGTCAGCCAAGGTCACTGGCAAGAATCATCAGGTCAGGATTTTGTCAGTGGCGCTCAACATCATCCCCATCATAAGTGACTTTCCAACAGTTCCTGCACCTTTGGCTTATTCTTTCAAGACTATATCCACAAAGAAAAGGCACAGAATAATGAAACCTCAGCCATGCATTTTATTTATTAACAAACACTCATGTTTGTCTATACTACATGCCAGGCACTGTTCTAAGAATGTTAAGTGGATGGTCTCCTGATTGCTTTATCTGAAGTTTAATCCTCACAATTCTATGAGGTTGGTGCTATTAACTTCATCTTCTGAGTGACAAAACTGAGAAAATGTGTCCAATTTATTTGACGAATAAGCAAACCTGGGATTCTAAACCAAGCAAAGTGGTTTCAGAGCACTATGCCAGCTGTCTTTACAGGGTCGGGAGACTTCCAGAAGGAATCACAAGAAACAATTCTGTGGTAATCTCTAGGGAATGGGATTCATGGAAACAGGGGATCTTTTTTTCACTTGATAGGTTCTATGCTATATACATGTTATTAGTTTATTTTTTGAGACATTCTCACTTTGTTACCCAAGCTGGAGTGCACTGGCACAATCTCAGCTCGCTGCAACCTCCACCTCCCAGGCTCAAAAACTATCCTCCCACCTCCGCCTCCCAGGCTCAAACTATCCTCCCACCTCCGCCTCCCAAGTAGCTAGGATTACAGGTGCATGCCACCATGCCCACCTAATTTTTCTATTTTTAGTAGAGATAAGGTTTCATCATGTTGGCCAGGCTGATCTCAAACTCAAATGATTCACCTGCCTCAGCCTCCCAAATTGCTAGGATTACAGGCATGAGCCACTATGCCCGGCCTAAGTTTTATTTTAACAATGACCTTGGATGGCTTGTACAATGAAAAGTATTTTTAATACGAAGGTTTTATCTATCTGATTTTTTTTTTGTTTTAGTCTGTGTATGTGAAACCAAAAACTAAGCTAACCCTGAAGGAAGGAGGGCTCGGGTGCGCAACGAGCCACCAAGGAATTCTGCAGGGATTGGAGTTGGGGGGACCATTTGCTGGGGCCTGAGATGAGAATGAAGCGGAGGAGGAGGTGATTGCTGCCACTCTTCTGCATGCTGCCAGTGTTTGGTAATGGATAGTTTTCTTTCTGTTTCACTATCCTGGGTCCAAAGAGCCAGAAGAGTAGACAACCCTTGGAGACAGCAGCTGTGCCAGCTGCAGAAATGGAGCGAGCTGTGAGCTAGAATAGAAGAAGCGGAAGGTCAAAAACCACGGAGAAACAGAGCCAGACACCACAGAGAGAGGCAAAACTCAGAGAGGGAGCCTGGCACTAGGCTGAAGTGACAGACCCTTCCTGCCTTGCACTTTCCTACCCAAGGCCACGTCTAGTGCATGGTACTAAGTCTAAGAAACAGCTCTGGAAATGCTATCTCTGCTAACCACAAGGGAAGACACTGTCCTTTTTTCATGATTCAAACTCTCCAGGGAACCAAGAGGGCTGAGGGCGCTGAGCTCCCTCCGCAGGACTTGGGCTCAGGACTCCCCCAGCATGAACCTACTCTGTTCCTCATCTTAACAAGCTCTGAAAGCCATAGGCACCAAGAGACCCAGGCCCGGGGTTCTTTGTTCAGCCCGGTGCGTTCTCCTTCTGAGCTTTCTTGGCGGTGTCACTCTCCTCACACTGTTACTTGGGTTCTCACTTTCGGTTCTTGGGTTAATGGATGTTTGTTTTACTGAATTCACGAGTCCTTTGTAAGTCTTCTACCCCAGGACATAGGACGGGGGTATAAACAAAGAAGCAAGGGCTAGCTGCCCTTATGATGGGCATGATTAGGGAACTGGAATTCTGTTCCATCCAGCAGGGTAGCAGGGGTAGGAAGAAAGGGAAATGAGAGAAAGGAACCAAGAGGTGAGCAAGGGAACCAGTACCTGTCAACACCAACACGCACCTGTTACGTAGCGGGGCTGGTCTTCAAATCCAGCACTATGGGGCTAATGCATGGGAACAGAAGCAGCCTGTAGGCTTCAGTGGTGGGGCTGGCAGTGTAAGGAAATGAAGAGAGGACAGGCTCTGCAGCCCAAGTGTCAGATGCCAAAGGCCTGCACAGGCGCTAGGACCCAGCTCCAAATCAGATCTCTAGCGCCATCGAGTGGCCATGAGGGAGATTGCAAGAGAAACGAACATGAGAAAAGAAACCCGAGAAGGCAGTGCTAGCCAGCTCCAGGGAGGAGGAAGGGAAGAAGCCTGGCCTTTGCCCTCAGTGCCCCCTTTCAGCTGACTATCCTGCTCCAGTTTGACCTCCCCTCTAGGCTTCTTCCTGGCACAACTGGTGCTTTGTCTCTGTGTGATCTTGGGCAGGCAACTCTGGCCTCTAGGCCTCAGTTTCCACAAATGTAAAATGAGTGGTAAGGCAAGGTGAGGTCGCATGCCAAGTGGTGTCCATAGGGCTTTAGCTCATCTGATCCTCATGGCCAGTTAAGATGATCACTCCCATCCCCCATATTCCAGTCTCTCCTGACCACACATAGTTCATGCTTTACTCACCTGTAAAGTCCCCCGTGGCCTCCTGTGAAAATTCCAGCCACTGTTTAACGATCACCTCTCTGGAATTTCTCCCCCCTCTCATCTGAAATTCCCTCTTTCTGCTACAGGGGTAGTCAGGTGGACCGCAGCCCTTCTAGCCTGGAGCTTCCGCAACTCAACAGCTTTTCTCATTCGTCAGTTTCTACCTCTTCACCAAGCCTAGCAAGGTGCCTGGCAGAGAGTGCTTAAGAGAAGCTGCTCTGACGTCAGTCAGCCTGGCTTCAAGCCCCATGTGGTAGGCAGAATAGCCATCCCCACAAAGATGTCCACGTTTTAATCCCTGGAACCTGTGATTATGTCACCTCACATTACAAAAGGGTCTTTGCAGATGTGGCTAAGATAGAGAGCCTGAGATGGGATGATTATCTTTGATTATCCAGGTCATGCCAATATAATCAGAAGGGTCCTTATAAGACAGAGATGGAAGAGTCAGAGTCAGAGAAAGAGATGCACTGATGGAAACGGGTTGAAGTGATGTGGGGCCAGGACCGAAGGAATTCAGGTAGCCTCTTGAAGCTGGAAAAGGCCAGGAAACAAAAGCCACCGGAAGGAATAAAGCCTTGCCAACACATTTTGGACTTCTGACCTAAAAACTGTAAGGTAATAAATTTGTGTTGTTAGGCACTCAATTTGTGGTAACTTATTAGGGCAGCCATAGGAAACATCCTGGTTCAGTTTCTTACTGGTTATGTTACTATTGGAAACTTAACCTTTCTGTGCCTCAGTTTCCTCATCTGTAAAATGGGGATGATAAAAGCAATAATTCTTATTTCATAAGATGGTTGCAAGGATAAAATGAAAATCAGTTACAATAATGCCCAACACTAAATATGTTAACTACTTAACATATTTGACAGCATGCAGAAGAGTGGTGGCAATCACCTGCAAATCAGTTACAATAAAGCCCAGCACTAAATATGTTAGCGATTACTGTAAGAATAGTTAACGGCTACCATTAATTGAGGGCCTGACAGGTACCAGGCACAGGTCACATGCCTTAGAACAAAGTCCTTGATTCTCCCCATCACCCTTGGGGGTAAGAATTTCAGTCTCTACTTTGCGGATGAGGAAACAAACACAAAATAACTTTCCCCAAATCACTCTAGGACTGGAAGCATTTTAAACTCCGTGGTTTCTTGCATGCACCTGGAAAATGGTACTGGTTTGTGTTCTTTGCTGATAGAAGTGCTTTCGGAGGGGCTGGGAGGGTGACAGAAGGAAGGCACCAGGCTGGATAGACAGGGGTCCCAGCTGATACCTCCTCCTCTTCCCACCTAGTGCAGGAGGGAGTTAAAATCGGGCAAAGCTCATTTATCCACTCCCACTCCATCCATTTAGGGTTCAATTACTGCCTCTCGGTTTCCCACCAACGCCACCCCACCCCGCACCCCTCACCAGTGCTCAGCCCTAGCAGTTTTTGAGCCAGATTTGGGGCACCATGGGATAGGCCTGGCCGGAGAGCGAAGCGTTCAATCCGCGGGGGAATGGGGTGGCGCAAACTTGCTCAGACCCCAAGGATTCCTGTTGAGCCCCCTCCCTTCCCGCAGCCTGCATAAGGAGCCATCTGTTCTCCGCTGAACAAACAAGCAGGGGAAAACGGCGCCCCCGCGCCCGACCCCCGCACAATGCGCCTTTCTCCAAGGAGACGCCGCCCGGGCGCCAGCAGAGCGTGCTCCGTCTGGCTTCCCCTCCCCCTGGCGATGCAGCAAGACCCAAAAACGGACCCGGTGGAAATCAGATTTTTTTTTAAGAAAAAGAAAACAAACAAATCCAACAAAGAACTGAGAACAGCATGCGGGGAAGGCGTGCCGGTCTAGCACGTGCCCCTTCCCCCATCACCCGCTATCCCCGTGACCCCCGGAGTCTGCCTTCTGGTCCGGGCGAGGCCAGCTCAGCGCAGCGCTGGAAGCTCGCCATCGCCTCCGCCCGGACAGCCCAATCCCGACGGGCCCAGGTTCTGCCTGGCCCCGGCGCCCCAATGGCGCGCAACTGGCACGGTCCGTGGGGCCGCGCCCCAGCCCGAGTGTCCCTCACTTATGGTTGGCCAGATGGTTCTCCAGATCCTCCAGGCGCGCGGTCAGCTGGGCCAGTGAGCGGTTAAGGAAGCCGCTGGGGTTCGCCGGGGTCCCTTCACTTTCCCGCCAGCCCGGGCCACCAGCCCCAAAGGATATGGTTCCGCGTCAGGTTCTCGAGCGCCCCCAGCGTGCGGCCCTCGAATTCCACTAGGCTTTCGCATTCACATGGGCTCCGAAGCTCTGTCCCGGCGCTGATACCCTCCTCTGCAAGCCAGGCACAAAGGGTCAGGGGGATGAGAAATTGCTTTAGCCTTGGCCCACTGATTTCCCTGCACTGGGCCTATGGTTGAGTATATGGGCTTTGGATTCAGAGAGACCTGGGCTGAGTCCCAAGCTAAATAGCTGTGAAATACTGAGAAACTCACTAACCTTTCTAAGCTCGGTTTCCTCGTCTATAAAATGGATATAATGAAAGAATGTACGCATCAGTGGCTTCGAGGATTCAGTCACCTGTGTATGTGTGCGTGTGTGTGCGCATGTGCACAACTTACAAGAGTGTTTCTCAAACCTTAATGCTCATTGGAATCATCAGGAGAGCTTGTTAACATATAGATTCTGATTCAGAATGGAGAAGGAGTTCAGAAGCTACATTTCTAATAAGATCCCAAATGATGCTGATGCTTCTGGTCTGTGGACCCCACTTTGAGGAGCACTCTCCAAATAAAGTTGTATGCAGTGATGGAAGTGTTCCATACCTGTCCTATCCGAAGCAGTAGCCACAAGCCACATGTGGCTGTTTAACACTTCAAATGTGACTGGTGCCACTAAAGGTCTAAAATTTATTTTATTTCAATCCATTTTAATTAAATAGGTATCTGTAATAGCTACTGCCTACCTTTTTGAAAAAGCACAGATCTAGAACACTGCCTGGTTCAAGTAAATACAGCAGGGGTCCCCAACCCCCAGGCCATGGACCATTACCAGCACATCACATGGACCAGTACCAGCCCGTGGCCTGTTAAAAACTGAGCCACACAGCAGGAGGTGAGCAGCCAGCAGGCAAAGGAGCTTCACCTGTATTTCCAGCTGCTCCCCATCACTCCCATTACAACCTGAGCACCTCTCCTGTCAGATCCGTGGCATTGTTAGATTCTCATGGGAGCACAAACCCTATTGTAAACTCTGCATGGGAGGGATCCAGGTTGCAGACTTGTTATGAAAATCTAATGCCTGATGATCTGTCACTGTCTCCCATCACCCACAGATGGGACCATCTAACTGCAGGAAAGCAAGCTGAGGGCTCCCACTGATTATACATTGTGGTGAATTGTTTAATTATTTCATTGTATATTACAATGTAATAATAGAAATAAAGTGCACAATAAATGTAACGTGCTTGAATCATCCTGAAACCATCCTCCCCACCACCGTCATGGAAAAATTGTCTTCCACAGAACCAGTCCCTGGTGCCAAAAAGGTTGTGTACCACTGCTTTATAGTGTATTTCAACTAGATCAGTGATTCTCAAAGTGTGGTCCTTGAACCAGCAGCATCAGCATCATGTGGAAATTTATCGGAAATGCAAATTATCAGACACCACCCCAAACATACTGAATCAGAAAATCTGGAGTTGAAGCCAGAAATTTGTGTTTTTAAAGGTCCTCCAGGTGATTCTGATGTTCCCTAATGTTGAGAAACCACTAATTCTGATCCAACTCTATCTCCCTATACATCTTAACATCTTGAGGGTTGGGCAGGAGAACTTATAATTAAAATTGGCACATGTTTTTCCTTAGCAGCACATAATGGTGAATCTTAAAATGAATGGTATCTTAGATTCACTAAATTTCTATAAGCATGTGCCGTTGTTAAGATTACAGGGAGGCCAGGCGAGGTGGTTCATGCCTGTAATCCCAGCACTTTGGGAGGCCGAGGCAGGTGGATCATGAGGTCAGGAGTTCAAGACCAGTCTGGCCAAGATGTTGAAACCCCGTCTCTACTAAAAATACAAAAAATTAGCCAGGTGTGGTGGTGGGCGCCTGTAATCCCAGCTACTCGGGAGGCTGAGGCAGGAGAATCGCTTGAATCCAGGAGGCAGAGGTTGCAGTGAGCCAAGATCATGCCACTGCACTCCAACCTGGGCAACAGAGCCAGACTCCATCTCAAAAAACAAAAAAAATTACAGGGAATTACTTTTAAAAAAATGCTACAACAAAAGTACCTTAGGAATACAAAGGAAAAGGATTACAAGTAGTGAAGTAATAAGTCCAATGCCTGCCCTTTAGCCTTCAACAACTGTAATGATTTAAAAGTTGTCTCTTCATCTTGGTCTTATATGTACTGTTGACAAACTTCTGTAAGTCTTGTTATTAACAACAATTCAGCAAAGACCCCTAATTTAACAGATGGAGAAACCAAGGGTTGGAGACAGGAGACAGTGATACCACCATTTGGTAAAGAGCCTTGACCACAGAGCCCAGACTTCTCTTAGAACTCTAGAGCTAGAGGTAAACTTGGGCAGCCAGTGCCTCCTCTGTTACAGAAAAGAAAAGTTAAGGTAGGGGTGGGAGTAAGTGAATTGTCCGAAGTCACACTGCGGGGCATGTAAGAGTCAGCACAGGAAGAGCCCTGAAAGGGCAGCTAATCCAGGAACTTGGACTCCACAATTATTAAAATTAGCTGGGAGGGGGGGTGGCGGGGTGGGGTGGGGTGTGTGTATTTGTATATGTATATACATACACTTTTTTTGAGACAAGGTCTCACTCTGTCACGAAGCTGGAGTGCAGTGGTACAATCTCAGCTCACTGCAACCTCCACCTCCCAGGTTCAAGCAATTTTCCTGCCTCAGTGCCCGCCTCCATGCCAGGCTAATTTTTGTATTTTTTAGTGAAAACAGGGTTTCACCATGTTGCCCAGGATGATCTTGAACTCCTGATCTCAAGTGATCCACCCGCCTTGGTCTCTCAGAGTTCTGAGATTACAAGCATGAGCCACTGTGCCTGCCCCTACAACATATACTTAAAAAAAAAAAAGACAGATTCTCCAGATCCAGATCAGTCCTACTTAATCTGTTTTCTGGAGCTGGAGCCTGATAAACTGGAAGAAGAGTTTTCACATCTTAAGCCTGGGTTAATGTCTAAAGACCCTAGGGTAAAAGTTACCCTGGAGACATTCCCTATATCACCTAGAGCACAATACACGCAATTCAGGAGCCACCTTCTCCTCCACAAGTAGAGTTAGTCTTTTTCCTCAGCTGAGCACCAGATGATGAAGCAGAAGAATTGCACTTGTGAGCTACATTGCTCCCCCCACCAAAACAAAACAAAATGAAAAACAAACAGTCCTGCGTGTGCTAATAAAGTATAGTATATTAGTATAGTATAGTATAGTATAATATAATATAGTATAGTATAGTATAGTATAATATAATATAGTATAGTATAGTATAGTATAATATAGTATAGTATAATATTGTATAGTATAATATGATATAGTATAGTATAGTATAATATAGTATAGTATAATATAGTATAGTATAATATGATATAGTATAGTATAGTATAATATAGTATAGTATAATATGATATAGTATAGTATAGTATAATATAGTATAATATAGTATAGTAGAGTATAATATAGTATAGTATAATATAGTATAGTATAATATGATATAGTATAATATAGTATAGTATAATATGATATAGTATAGTATAGTATAATATAGTATAGTATAGTATAATATAGTATGGTATAGTATAGCATAGTATAATATAGTATAGTATACTAAAGTATACTCAGTCCTGCCACTTTGCCAAGTTCATAAGGTTGAGTTCTAACATGTACAGGGGATATATGCTGTGACTCCACTTACAAATGCTGTCTGGTGTGCCTTCAAAAAAATTTTCCCAAATTATTCTGAACTTCCACTGTTTTGGGGGATGGGTAGCTTAGTCTAGGGTTTCTTAGACTTTAATATGCTTAGAAATTACCTGAGAATCTTGGCGAGGTGCAAATTCTGATTTATTCAGTCTGGAGAGCACCAGAAATGTTTCAGTTCTAAGAAGCTACCGGGTCACCACCCTGCAGCTGGCCTGCTGACCACATTTGGAGGAGCAAAACTCTGTCTAGTGAGCCCAACCTCTGGCTATGACTACAAAGAAGGTAGGGGGTGACTAGGAAGGGGAGCTATCAGAGGGTGGGCAATGAGAGAGAGGAAGAGTCCCGAGAGAGGTGCTCTCACCTGGGCAGATGCTGCCTTTGAGGTTCTCCAGCAGGTGTGTCATGGTGCCGAAGTCCGGGGCATAGGACATGTGCTGTTCTGCTGGCTCCGAGGCGATCTCGCGCAGCTCCGCCTCCACCGCCTTGCCCACGCCCACGGCGTACATGACGATGCCTACCGGGCCAGGGACTCAGAGGGTGCCCCAGGCCTCGGAAAAGCTGCCTCCCCGCGTCTGACCCAAGCCCAGCCTACCGTGTCCCATGGCAAGCTCACCTTCTTCTTTGGCACGCGCTGCCCACACCGAGATGTCATCCTGGGAGCGGCCGTCTGTGAAGACCAGGCCAACGCGAGGCACGTTGAGGGCACGGGGCCGCGCACCCTGTGCCTCGGAGAAGCTGTGCTCCACCATGTGCCGCAGCGCCAGCCCTGTCATGGTGCCGCGCTCCATGTACTCCACCGCCAGGACCGCCTGCTTCACCTCGGCTGCGGTGCCGTAGCGGCCCAGAGGGAACTCAGTGCGCACGCGGCTGGAGAACTGCACCAGCCCCACACGCGTGCCCTCGGGGGACACATCCAGGAAGTCCACAATCTGGTTCACGAAGCGCTTCACCAGCTCGAAGTTTTGTGGACGCACGCTCTTGGAGCCGTCAACCAGCAGAACAAGGTCCACGTGGCCTTCCCGGCACCCTGCACGGCCAGAAGAGCTTGAATTGAGGGACCGGATTCTTGACTGGCAGCAGCTGTCTATTCATCTAGTCATTCACTCGCCAACATTTGTTATATAACAGACAAAATTTCCTGAGTCTTTGCTGTGCTGGGCAGTGTAATAATTATCGCCATCATCACAACCACCACTATCATCATCATCATCATCATCATCGCCCTTGACATTTATTCGGTGTTTAGAACAAACCAGACACTCTGCTAAAAGCATCTTTTTTTAACAACAATTGTAATAATGACCACAATAACTACCATTTATTGATCATCTACTATGTATCAGGCACACTTCTAAGCACTGTACCGATATTAACAATAATAATAACAAAAACATTACTCACTGACAGCTTGCCATGTGGCAGGTACTCGGTGAAGGGCTTATATATATTCTCAATCCTCCAATAAGTTTGAGTGTTGTCCCCATTTTCTATAACCTAAGGTTCTGATGGATAAAGTGATTGCCCCAGATTTCATAGTTTGTACTAACCTAGCCAAGGCAGGAAGCCAGGTCTGTCTGACTCCAAAACCCATGTTCCTGAATCACTCTACAATGCTGCCTTCCCTATTCTGAGCTAGGACCAAAGTGGGTTCAACAAGAATTAAAACATAATCCTGATCAACGAGGACAGAGCAGAGCAAGTCAGACATGGCATATGCTCTGGTCAAGGAAAGTGCTAGAAGAGAAGAGCATGTGGCCAGGCACGGTGGCTCATGCCTGTAATCCCAGCACTTTGGGAGGCTGAGGGAGGTGGATCCCCTAAGGTCGGGAGTTCGAAACCAGCCTGACCAATATGAAGAAACCCCATCTCTACTAAAAATACAAAATTAGGAGTGGTGGTGCATGCCTGTAATCCCAGCTACTCGGGAGGCTGAGGCAAGAGAATCTCTTGAACCTGGGAGGCGGAGGTTGCAGTGAGCCCAGATTGTGCTATTGCACTCCAGCCTGGGCAACAAGAGTGAAACTCCGACTCAAAAAAAAAAAAAAAAAAAAAGAGAGAGAGAGAAGAGCGTGCATCAAGAAGATTGGTGTGTGTGTGTGTGTGTGTGTGCAGCACAGGGGGGTGTTGATAGTTATGCCATCTAAGGTCAGAAAGCAGGCCCTCATTAGACACATATCTGCTGGCACCTTGGTCTTAGACTCCCCAGCCTCCAGAAATGTGAAAAATAAATGTTGTTTAAGCCACCCAGTCTATGGTACTTTGGTATAGCAGAATAAACTAAGACGGTCTTGAAAGATCAGTAGGAGTTTGCCAAGGCAGTAAGGGACAGTCTAGAAGGTGGGATGCAGCACATACAGAGGCATGCAGAGCTCCAGACACATTCAGGGAGGGGCAGGCCAGTAAGACTGAAATGTTCAAGTGTGGCAGGAGGTGGGCTGATGGAGCTGGCTGAAGCTAAGGCAGTGGTTTCAAAATTTTTATCACAGCCCACAGCAAAAATAATAATGAGAATACATATAGAACTAAAGTTTCAAGAATAATATAACTATTTCCACAGGCAGTAAACTCTATGTTGTCTTCCATTCTTTATTTTTTTTAACGTTGGTTGTAACCAAGTAATTTGATTTCATTATCCATTAATGTGGTTTTGCTCACCATGTGAAACACTTAGAGCTCAGTCATTTGATCTTTCTTCTGTAGGCATTGGTGAGCCACAGAAGGCTGATGTGCAAAGGAGGAGTGTGATCAAATATATATTTTTAAAACTAACATTGGCAGCTGAGTAGAGGATTGTGGGGAAAGAGATGGAGGCAGGGAATGGCATCCCCTCCAATGTCACCCCCACAACACACACACACATTCACACCACAGCCTAGGGGCCACAGCAAGGGCAAAGTCAAAGACACTCAGAATGTGGGCAGTGGGGCAGAAGCAGACAGAACACCCTCCCACCCATCACTCACTGCTGCAGCTCTTGCCATCTGCCTGAAGTTGCCGCCCCTCAGGGCACAGGCAGCGGTAGGAGAGGCCCTCGCTCACACACTGGAACTCACAGCCATGGTCCACGCCATTGCAAAGGTCCCGGACTTAAAGGAGAGACAGGGCAGAATGAATCAGGATGAATCCCACCAGCTAAGATCTCTTATCCCTCCCACAAATGTAGGAAAGCCCTCCTCACCCTGACAGCTCCTCCCATCGGGCTGCAAGTCATGGCCCTCCCTGCAGTGGCACCGTGGTCCACCAAGGGTGCTAACACACTCATGCTGACAGCTGTGGTTCCCGAAGCTGCAGTAGTCAATGGCTGGCCAGAGGGAAGAAACAGCAAGATGTCACCTCTGACTGGAGCCCTCGGAGGCCACAGTCCTGGGTGTGGCAGGAGGGCAGGGTTGTTGCTCACCCCTGCAGCTCCTCTGATTTTGCTGGAGTACAAAGCCAACTTGGCAGCGACAGAAATAGGAGCCAGGGGAATTGACGCAGTGGTGCTCACATCCATGGGTCCCTTCAGCACACAGGTCAATGGCTGAGGAAGAGATGAGGTCAGTCCATGCCCAGGGCTGCCCTTCTCAGCTCTGGTAGCACAACCACCTAAAGAAATTTCTTTTCTTTTTTTTTTTTTTTTAACCAAAATCAGGTGGAATAAGAAAGTTTTAAGAACACCTATGCCTGGGCCCCAACCCCAACAATCCTGACCTAATTAGTCAGGGCCCCTGTCCTCAAGATGCTCTCTGACTTACAGAGGACGGGTTTGGCCCACTTTGCCTGTCTGCGCCTCCATTTTACTATTTGCAAAATGGGAATATAATGGAAGAGAGTGATTACTATTTACAGCTTCCTTCTGTGGAAGATGGGAAACTATTGCCCTGTTGAGCATATTGATGTTCTGGATATGCAAAGATGGCCAAGAGCTGGACTGAAGAGAGGATAATTACCCTGTATAAAAAAGTGAGAATTGGCTGGGCAGCATGGATCACGCCTGTAATCTCAGCACTTTGGGAAGCCAGGATTGGCAGATCACTTGAGGTCAGGAGTTCGAGACCAGCCTGGCCAACATGGTGAAACTCCATCTCTATTAAAAATACAAAACTTAGCTAGGCATGGTGGTGGGTGCCTGTAATCACAGCTACTAGGGAGTCTGAGGCTCAAGAATCACTTGAACCCAGGAGGCGGAGGGTGCAGTGAGCTGAGATCGCAGCATTGTACTCCAACCTGGGCAACAGAGCAAGACTCTGTCTCAAACAAAACAAAACGAAAAGACAGAAACAAGTTTGGGAGGTGGTTTGGAGCCAGATAGAAGACTAGCCTGAAAACAGGGAGAAAGAGGAGCAGAAAGCATACTGAACTGTGGGCTCCCACCAGGGACTTGTGTGACCCCCGGGCAATACCTTTCTTTCTTAGGCCTGTAAAGTGATGGAGGTGTGCTTTTACTGCCAAAGGCCCTTCCAGACTCATTGGTCTGATGTTGGGGCAATGGGGAGCCAAAGAAGGTTCAGGAGCAGTGTGATTGTAAGGCAGGGGTAGCTCTCACCCAAACAGCTCTTGTTATCTGCTGCTAGCTTGTAGCCCCGGTAGCAGGCGCAGTGGAAAGTGCCCCGGGCGTTGACACACTGGTGCTGGCAGCCATGTCTCCCCTCAACACACCAGTCCTTCCCTGAGGACACACAGGACTAGACTCAGTAGAGAACAGATAGGCAGAAGCCTCCAACAAGAGAGAGCTGAGTGGGGATGGGATCAGAGGCAGGCATCACCCTCAAATGGCTTTCAGAGGGAAATAACTCATCTGAGAGGGGTGTACCAGGGAGGAGGGCTTAGGGAAAGAAGGGCTTGAGGAGCCCCTGCGAGTAGACTCAGAAGAGGGGGCACCCAGTTAGACATGTCAGTGGGATAGAACAGGACTCCACAGGGGCAGGAGTGGGTAGGGAGGTGGAGAGGTGCTAAATCAAGGTGGGCGGAATAAACTCAAAACGTGGCTAGAACAGATCTTGCAGCATTTGTGGAAGGAGCTAAGATGATAATGGGAGGAGCCATCCCCATGAGGGAAGGCCGTGACCCTTTGGAGCAGCCGATCAGCTTTGAGAATCGCTGGTTCCTTGTGTACAGGGGGTTGATGCTGGAGTTTGACATTAAGCCTGCGGAAAGCTGTGGCGGGCAGGGCAAGAAACTATAAGTTGCTCCTTGTTGATGGAGCCTGAGCAGAAGTGGTCAGAGCTGAAATCTGAAACAGTCTGCGGTAGGTCCGAGCAACTCTACCTGGAAAGCGCGGGGCCACTCCGAGGGATGGGATTTACTGTGGTAGGAAAGGAATTCAAGCATTTGGATTGAGAGTTGGAGCCTCTCTCCAGCACTCTCCTAACTCACCACACAGCCGGCCCTGGAACTGCAGGCCGAACTCCTGGATGAGATCGAAGGACTCTACGAGGAAGACGTGCTCCTCCAGCGGGGGCGATGCCATGGCGCGCAAGGAGCCCACGTCCGCGCGCTGCACCCCCACCGCGTAAATTTCAATGCCACGGGCGCGCGCCTGCGCCGCCACCTCTGCCACGCGGTCCTGAGGCCGCCCGTCCGTCACGATGACAGCGACGCGCGGCACACGCTCCTCCGGCGGGCGCGCGCCCTCAGCCACGCTGAAGGCCACGTTCATGGCGTACTGGATTGCCAGTCCCGTCATGGTGCCTTGCGCCAGCGGCACCAGGTCGCGGATGGCGCGCACCATGTCCTCGCGGCGAGAGAAGGCGCGGAGAGGGAAGACGCTCTGCACTTGACTCGAGTACTGGATCACACCAACGCGCGTGGCGTTGGGACCCACGTTCAGGCCACGGACAAGGCCCACAAGGAACTGCCGCATGGTCTCGAACTCGAAAGGGCGCACGCTGCGGGAGCTGTCAATCACGAACACCAGATCCAGGGGCCCAGTGTGACACCTGGGACCTGCGGGGAGATCAGGGAAGACTCTCCTAGGTCAGCAAAACCTTACCTCCGAGGAGATTCCCCCAGGGAAACTCAGGGGAAATGCCGCAATTCCGGCATAACCGCGCCCAGCACAGCAAAGGCAGGTTAGATAGATGCACTCACACGGCATGTGCCTGGCACCTGGCCTAGGAGATTGCACGAATTCCCTCATCTCACAGCCCTGCGGGCTGTTCCGAGAAGGTATTAGCCATTGATGAGGGGGCAAGGAAGCATCACAAACTCAAAGCCTGCAGGGATCAGGCAGGCAACATGGGTGAATTGGTTGAGTTAGGACGGCGGAGACCCAAACAGCCTGAATCACTCCTAAATTGGGCAGGCAGCTCCATCCAAATGCTGCCATGCACCTGCGAATTGGATCTTAACAGATCCCTGGCTTTTTCAAGAGAAGTACCAAACAGGGATTTTTATGTAAAATTTCCTGGGTTTTCCATGTTTTCAAATAATTTTTCCAAATTAAACATCCCATGGGCAGGTCTGCATGTGCCCCAAACTAAGCTACATTCTACAGATGAAGAAACTGAGGCCCGGAGAGGTGAGGCGGGGAACTTAAACCCAGTCCCTTATGTTCCAAAGCCCTTGCTTCCCTCTCCCCAGCAGGAGGAGCTGGCTGCAGAGGGAGGACCTACTTCGGCTCCCCTCCTCCCACTGGTGAGGGCTGGGCCCCAGCTCACCTGCAGACTGGAGCTGGGTTTCCCAGGGCAGATGAAGGAGCAGCAACACAAGCCAGCAAAGGCCTCTCATGGTGCTTGGGAACAGAGAAGGGAGGTGTCAGAGCCTGGATGGAGGAATGACAGAGCTCTTATTCTGGATGATAAGGACTTGGAGGGGGAAGAGAGTTGTGGGTTTATTTTATTACTAATTTCTCTATTTTTGTGTATTTTTGAAATTATTCAGAATTAAAAATTTTTTATCACAGTGGGATTACTGGGAAACACAAGGTTTTGTTTGTTTGTTTGTTTAATGTTTTAATGGAGTCTTGCTCTATTGCCCAGTCTGGAATGCAGTGGGCAGGATCTCTGCTCATCGCAACCTCTGCCTCTCAGGTTCAAGCGGCTCTCCTGCCTCAGCCTCCGCAGTAGCTGGGACTACAGTCTCCTGCCACCATGCCCAGCTAACTTTTGTATTTTTAGTAGAGACGGGTTTTGCCATGTTGGCCAGGCTGGTCTCAAACTGAGGTCCTGACCTGAGGTAATCCTCCCACCTCAGCATAAGCCACCACACTTGGCCCACAAGAGATTCTTTGTGAAACTGCAGAATAGTAAATAAGAATAGATACATAGACACAAATATACAAAATTTAAACAGGAAAAAAAAGGCCTTTCTTAAATGTCAGGCACAGTGTTAAATGCTCTTCTCACTTTGTGGCATTCAATCCTCTCTGCAATTGTAAGACTAAGGCTGTGATTGTCCCCATCATATAGATGAGGAAACTGAGGCTCAGAAAAGTTAATGGCTGCTGCCTACAGTCATTTGGCCAGAAAGTGGCTGCGGCAGGAGAATCTCACACCTGCTGGATTCTGTGAGCCAGCCTGGGCGTTGGGTGCCTCTCCTGCCAGGCGAATCTCTGCAGACAGAAGCCCTTCCCCACCTCGGCCCACTCCCCTACGCACACAAGAAGCTTCTGTGTGGCTGACTTCGCAACTCGCCAACTCCCCTATACCCCTCCACACACACAAACAGAGATACGCACTGCCCAGCTGCAGGCGGCAGGGAGGGCTGAGCGTGGTGGAGCGGCAGCTAGTGTAACAAAACTCACCGCGCAAGAGAACGCGCGGCTTGGCGCCTGTTTCCCGCCTGCTCTCAGGAGCGACCGCCAGGGGGCGCCCGAGATGACAGGGGGCGTGGGAAGCCCACATCTGCCCAGCAGGTGCGCCCACACCGAGCAAACAGCGGGCCAGGGCCCAGGGCCTTGGAGATAAGACCTGGACCGGATATATCTCGCGCAAGAACCGGGGAGCAGGAGTGTACAGGGTTCCAGCGACAGCAGCACTGGACTCGCCCAGAGGGCGGCGGGTAAGCGGCTGAGGCCAGGTGGAGCCGCTATGGACCCTGCAGGTGAGCTCACCCTCCCGCGGCCCCGGAGACGCCCAGTGAGAACTACGAAAGACCCCCCCACTGTACAGATAGGAAAACTAAGGCCCAAGAAGGCAGCCCACCGAGCTGCAAAAACAGGATTAGAACCTAGGGTTCCTGGTTCCCCTTCTCGCTTTTGAGGCCCCCTGGCGCCTAGAAGTCCTTAAACCTCTTTTCCTTCCAGTTCCCACCCCACCCTGGCGCCCCATGCTGAAGCTGTGTTAGCCATTTATCTGTTGCTGTTTCTTGGCAGAGAGGGCCAGCCGCCCCTAACCCAACCGCAGCCCCGCCCCCACCCCCAATTCCGTGAATGCGCCTATTCTGAGCCAGGCCTGTGCCTGGCTCCAGGCGGCCTTCTTGTCCCGGATTCTTCTCCCCTTTCCCCTCCCAGGCTTGGTAGAGGAACAGAAATCCCTTTGGCAGGGCCAGTCGTGGGAGGGTGACTAAGCTGGATGTGGCAGCGTTGGTGGAGGTGGGAGGGCGGGGAACTCTTCGCTACCTTGGGCCACGGCAAGGCCAGCATCCCTGGGCAGCATGAGGAGCCTCTGCTACCCGCCATCCTTTCCCACTCAGAGACATCTCTGGGTCCCCAAAACTTGGTTAAGGTTCCCCTCATCCTGTTCCTGGCCTGAGCCAACATCTCACCTGGCACCCTGCCTCCACCCCAGGAATCCTAGAAAGTCAAAATAGCGACTACCCAAAGTTCATCACCTTTCCAAAGCCCTCATTTTACAAAGAAAGAAACTAGGTCCAGAGAGGGTGGTATCTTGCTGAAGGGCACACAGCGATGTCGTGGCGGGGTTGACACTAAAACCCAGGATTCCTCTGCAGAGTTCATCCTTGTGTCTAAAAGATTCAGAGATGCCCTAAGGTGAGGTTGAGGGAGAGGACCAGGAAGGGATGAGAGACCTGTAAATCATTTCTCAAATGTCCCTTAGGGACATTTCAGGGGGTTCCTGGAGGGATGGATGAGAGTAGAAAAGGGATGACCCTATTTTGATGGCCTTGCTGGTGGGGGCTTGATTTCAAAAAGACCTTGCAGAAGTGGGGAAGGGTACTGCGGGTCAGACAGGGCACCAGAGGCCATGCCTCTGCTAAAATACAGTCTCCTGATCTGGCTTAACACCTACTCCCCTGCAGACCCTGCAGTGGCTCCCAGCCCTTTGACTCACCTGAGCCTGCGGGACAGATCAGAGATGCAGCTGCAGAGCGAAGCCGACAGGCAAAGCCTCCCAGGCACTTGGACCAGGTAACGGTGTGGCAGCGTGCCCTAGGTGGGGACTGCCAGGCTACTGGAGCACGCAGAGGCAGCAGCCGCATTTAACCCAGGGCTGGCGGTGGGGAGGGGAAGCGCAGGCTGCAACCCCTCCCACTGGCAGGGAGGGATTCCCCCCTTCCTCCTGAGGGGGGGCAAACCCAGCACCCCCTGCTCCTACCACCCTTGGAGCTGCAGACCGGGCTAGCTGCGGGCCAGGCTGGAATTTGGCTACAGCGGGAGACAGGAGACTGGGGCAGCCACACTCTGGCAGCCGGAATGCGTTGGAAGCTTAGGAGGCACTTCCTTGAGGAGAGCCCCAAGGGGTGGAGCGGTCCTGGCTGTGGCTGCTGACTGCCTGGCCTGGCTTTGGAGGGTGCGGTCCTACACTGTCCCCTCCAGGAGTGGGGAGAGACTGGGTCCTGCCAAGAGGATAAAGGGCTCAGAAGGACAGCCTCAGTGTTCACGGCTCTCCTTGGGCCTCAACGTGCTAACCCCCCACATCTCTCCCCACCGCCACTCCTCTACTCACTCCCTGCAATTGCTATGGCATACCCACTCACACCGATCCAGACCCCCAGGTTGGGGAACCACCAGGCCTCTAGGCTCTAACCTGGCTTGCTCCGCAGAACCCATATTCTCTGCCTTGACTCCTGTAATCGAGGGAAGGAAAGCCCACACAGCAACAGACCCCTTCTCATGGGAGAAAGGGAGGAATAAGGCTTTGGCCCCAGAAAGGCTCAGATTCCCCCACGTCACCCCCCATCCTGGGGATGAGGTTTGGGGCCCTTTCCTGTTTGCAGGCAGGAGGCTAGAGAGCACCCCCAGGCCAGGAGCCCAGCAAAGGCTCCCCCATCCCCCCACCCCTCACCCCCACACCCTGCTTCCCTTGGGTGGGGAAGCTTCATCTCTACCAATGCCATCAACCCTAAAATACTCTTCTCCATCCCAAGGCCAGTATAAGTGCAGCCTTTGTGTCACAGCCATGTGTCCCTATGGCCCTGGACTCCAATGGGCAAGACGCCAGACCTGCAGAGTGGAACCTGGGCGGTCCCGTGGGCTCTCTGCAGGCCTCATTGAGCACCTCGAAGCCTAAATATTTAGCCTACAATTTGCAGCCTAGTCCCCTCCTTACCTAACGGCTTCCTCTTCCCGACCCCATGGGGGCAGAATGTAGAGCAGCCCCACCCTTCCCCACTCACTCTAACCCCCTGTCCACCTCATTTTGCTCAACCTGAGTGCTTGGACCCTGTGCTACCCTGACCCTTGGCTGTCCCTCCTGCGGCCGGTCGACCTGCCTGCCCGCCCTCCACCCTGCAGGTCATCCCCAGAGCACGCCACCATTCTGCGGGGAGGCGTGCGCAGGTGCCTGCAGCAACAGTGTGAACAGACTGTGCGGATCCTGCACGCCAAGGTGGCCCAGAAATCCTATGGAAATGAGAAGCGGTAGGTGCCTCGGTAGCCCCTCCCATGTCTCTGCAGCTGTCCACCCTATGCACCCCTGCATCCACCCACTGGGCCTCCTTTAGACCCAGAGGAGGCCTCAGGACTGAGATCTCAGCTATTAGTCAACCAGGGGCCTTGTCCCTCAGCCACCATTAGCCCCCACTTTGGTCTGTAGTCCCACACCAGGAGATTCCCTGTGGATCGCCTGTCTCCACTCATTCACTCATTCTCCCATTTATTCACTTGTTCGTTCATTCAACAGCTACTTACTGAATGTTTCTCATGTATGCGCCAGGCTCTATGGGCACTGCTGGGCACTGGGCATGCAGCTGAACAAGACAGAGACAGCCCCTGCTCTGTAGTCCACACTCTCACACAAGTGTGGAGGAGACAGACAGTAAACTCCCCACAAATCAGTAAACAAGATACTTGCAGATTATGAAGTGCATTAGAAGGAAAACTGAACAAGGCCATTGATGGAAACTGAAGGCAGAGAGTACCTTAGCTAGAAAGGCCAAGGAGGTTGAGAGACCTTTTGGGAGGTAACATCAGAACTGAAACGTGAATGTTAAAATGGAGCCAGGCTGGAGAAAATCTGGGGAAAGCGTGCTGCAATTAGGAGAAACAGAAGGGCTGGGCGCAGTGAATCACGCCTGTAATCCCAGCACTTTGGGAAGCAGAGGCAGCAGATCACCTGAGGTCAGGAGTTCAAGACCAGCCTGGTCAACATGGTGAAACTCCCTCACTACCACAACTACAAAATTAGTCGGGTGTGGTGGTGGGTGCCTGTAATCCCAGCTACTCAGAAGGCTGAGGCAGGAGAATCACTTTAACCCGGGAGGCGGAGGTTACAGTGAGCCAAGATCACGCCACTGCACTCCAGCCTGGGCAACAAGAGCAAAACTCCGGAAAAAACAAAACAAAACAATAAGGTTTGGATATGAATGGGGTTTACAGTCATGAAAAAGCGTGGGAGAGAGCAGGAGGAGTAAACGAAGGTTCTGCTGGGTTTACGCTACTACCTGCTGTGCTTACAGGAGAGCCAAGTGAACATGGATGCACGAATCCAGCTCTCACTTATCTCCGCAGGTTCTTCTGCCCCCCGCCCTGTGTCTACCTCTCGGGGCCCGGCTGGAGGGTGAAGCCGGGGCAGGACCAAGGTGAGGGCGGACTCAAGGGCTGCCGGCCGCCTGCTCAGTAGGGAGTACCCCGAGGTTGGGCCCGGGAGAGGGGCGGTTCGCAGGCGCAGTCTCCCCGCGCCCTCTGGTGGCGAGCGCTAAGCTTGCCTGGCACCTGCGTCCTTCCGGAGTCCTTCCAGAGCCAGTTCGCGTCCCTTTCCAGCTCACCAGGCGGGGGAGACCGGGCCGACGGTCTGTGGTTACATGGGACTGGACAGCGCTTCCGGCAGCGCCGCGGAGACGCAGAAGCTGAATTTCGAGCAGCAGTCGGACTCCAGAGTGAGAGCGCACGGGAAGGGGTCGGATTCCTGCTCCCATCCCTGCCTCTCCTGGGAAAGGAGGGCTCTTTTACACCCCTCCCAAAGCCAAGAGATCCGTGGGGAGACCGGGAGGCCGGGGTCCCGCGTTAAGGCCTAGCCTGAGAGCGTGGGTGGTGGAGCTTCTGGTCACCTCCGACGGGGCGGACGTCCGATGTCTGGGAGAGGTTGGTTCATCCGACGGCAGAGGGCTGGGATAAGACGGCCCTGTCCCCGCGAGTCCCTTAGGAATTCGGCTGCGCCAAGACCCTGTACATCTCGGATGCAGACAAGAGAAAGCACTTTCGGCTGGTGCTGCGGCTAGTTCTGCGCGGGGGCCGGGAGCTGGGCACCTTCCACAGCCGCCTCATCAAGGTCATCTCCAAGCCCTCGCAGAAGAAGCAGTCGCTGAAAAACACCGACCGTGAGCAGGGCGGGGCCTGACCGCGGGCCTGGGCGGGGAGGTGCAACCAAGCCCAGAGCGGCTAAATTGGGGCACGGAGGTGAGGGTAGGCTGGACTATAGGAGTGGGGTCAGAGTGGAAAAGATGGAGTCAGAGCTGAGAGAGGAAGGGGTCTGGATGTGTGCGGCCCAAGCCTGGGGATGAGAAGAGTGGGAGGATGAAAAGCAGAGAGGAAAGGGACGGGCACCAAACTCCAGGATGGGAGTTGGGGTCCCAGAGCAGAAAAAAGTTGAACTAGGCAGGAGCTGAGCTAGGCAGGCAGGGATTGAACAAGGGACAGACTAAAAGTGACATAGGCGGGGCGCGGTGGCTCATGCTTGTAACCCCAACACTTTAGGAGGCCGAGCTTGGGGGAATCACTTGAGCCTAGGAGTTCAGGACCAGCCTGGGCAACATGGCGAAACCTCATTTTTTAAAACAAAGAAGGAAGGAGGGAGGGATGGAAGGAAGGAAGAAGGAAGGAAGAAAGGCAGGAAGGAAACAAGGAAGAAAGAAGGAAGGAAGGAAGGAAGGAAGGAAGGAAGGAAGGAAGGAAGGAAAAGAAAGAGCTGGGCATGATGACTGGCGCCTGCAGTCCCAGCTACATGGGGAGCTGAGATCAGAGAATCGCTTGAGCCCAGGAGGTCGAGGCTACAGTGAGCTGTGATAGCACCACTGCAGTCCAGCCTGGGTGAGAGGGTAAGGTGCTGTCTCAAAAAAAAGGGGGTGTTTTAATTTTGTTTCCTGAACTGAGAGATATCCAGGCAGCAAAAGGAGCAGACAAATGTTCTGAAGCAGGACTGTCGCTGGTACTACAGTCTTCATGCTTTGGGGCCTCACTCTCCAGCCCGGCCCATGTGTGCCACATTCTCTTCATGGATCTCAGGGGATCCCTCCAGGCGTGAACTGTGAACTGTGAATGCCCAGTGTGTCTAGGCCATGGGCATATTAGCCAGGCTGGCACAGGAAACAGAGGATTGGAAATTATCTGGAAAGTCCAAGGGACCAAGTCAGGCCAGGGCAATGCACTGGCTGCACCCCCTAACCCTGACCTTAACCCTGACCCTAACCCTCACCCTAAACCTCACCCTAACCCTGACCCTAACCCTCACCCTAACCCTGACCCTAACCCTAATCCTGACCCTCACCCTAATCCTGACCCTCACACTCACCCTCACAGTGTGCATATCCTCCGGCTCAAAGGTCTCCCTCTTCAACCGCCTGCGCTCCCAGACCGTCTCTACACGCTACCTCTCTGTGCAGGATGGGGCCTTTGTGGCCAGTGCGCGACAGTGGGCTGCCTTCACGCTCCACCTGGGTAATGACATCTGCAGCCCCTGGGGCTGGGCACTTCCCATACACTAGCTTATTTAACCTTCGCCATGACTCCTTAAGGAAAGTCAACTCTGCCCCATGTGATTAAGGCTCAGAAACACAAAAAGACTTGACCACAGTCCCCATGAGTTGGTGACTGATACAAGCTATTCTGACTCCATTATCCGTGCCCTTTCCCCTCATATCAACTAAGCTGCCTGCCCCCACCTCTGTCCCTGGGGTGGACATTTGTGAGGATGGCCTCCAATGACCCCTCCAGAATTAGACCCTTCAGTCTTAGCTGCTCCCCTGAGTACCACCCCTTCCCATAAGGCTAATGTGTGATGTGAGGAAGAGCCAGAGGCAAGAAGACGGAGTTTATAGCAGAAGCTTTGGGGCCCCTGAAAACCTTGCCCCTTCCTTTGTTTGACCCCCAGCTGATGGGCACTCTTCCCAAGAAGACTTCCCACCGCGAGAGGGCTACGTTCGCTACGGCTCCCTGGTGCAGCTCGTCTGCACAGTCACTGGGATCACATTACCCCCCATGGTACAGGAAGGGAGGGCATGCCTGGACGGGTTCCCTGAGATCCACGCAGAGAATGTGGCACACGTGGGCTGGGCTGGAGAGTGAGGCCCCAAAGCATGAAGACACCTATTCTCACTCAGTCTTTTGTGGGACCAGACAGAAGTCAAAGGGCAGGAAGAATCCACTAGTGCCCGTGTGGCTATTGGAGTAGCAGAGAGCTGGCTGGGAGGGCAGCTTCTGGACGCCCGGGCACCTTGCCATCACTCTTCCTACCACCCTTTCACTGCAGA